AATAGTCAGCCGTGAGGTGCTTGGCACACTTGACAACCAACAACGAGGCCAGAATGCAGCTTTATATTCCTTGTAAATGAAAAGGTCATTGTGGGTAACTTTACCTTTAACTGTTGTATGGAGTACACATAGTTTTAAAGCTTTTGATAAGTGTAGCCAAGTAGTGTGTATGTGTATATATGTGTCACTTTTCGTATGTTAATTAGCTATTTGTATTTCTTATGTGTAACACACACACACTCACTCACACACATCCAAATACCTGGTTTTGTTCACTATTTTTCTTTTGTGATTTTTTTTATTGAATTGTGAACACTCATTATACATTAAGAATATGAAATTCCAGGGGCGCCTGGGTGGCTCAGTGGGTTAAAGCCTCTGCCTTCAGCTCAGGTCATGTTCCCAGGTCCTGGGATGGAGCCCCGCATCAGGCTCTCTGCTCAGCAGGGAGCCTGCTTCCCTTCCTCTCTCTCTGGCTGCCTCTCTGCTCTCTGCCTACCTGTGATCTCTGTCTGTCAAATAAATAAATAAAATATTTTAAAAAAAAAGAATATGAAATTCCAGCCTGTTTTATATGCTGTCAGGAGTTTTTCCCAGGTCATTCATCATCTCTTGGTTTTCTTTACGGTGTTTTCTGACCAGTGCATTTTATGCAGGTGGATCTGTCAATCTTCCCTAGTGGTTTCTGTCTTTGGAGTTATGTGTAGAAAGACCCAGAACGTTTATTGAGTATCGTTGTGCCATGCACTGCTCAGGACTTGTGCACCCTTCCTCTGCCCCCCGTCTAGTGACCTAGTAAGCCCGAGATACATCCAGCCCTAGAGGACCTCACCTAGAAGAAAGGGCACAGCCCAGGGAAATGTGTGAAGTTTGTCCCTCCCTTAGATCTCTTGGCTAATGTTAGCTAACTGCAGGAACATTCCTTGACAGTGAAGAGAGCTGATTATAATTCCCAAAGATTTGGGTAACCATGTGCATGTTATAAGGCTATACTCTTCAGTGCCCAGAACCAGGTATGATTTCCATCCTTACTGCTTTATTTCCCTGGAAAATAGTCCTCCATTTTAGCAGCATTAACTAGGATTTTTAAATTATAGTTTAATTTTGTCCTGAAGAAATCTTTAAAAAAAAAAAAAATTTCAAGGGGCCCCTGTGTGGCTCAGTCAGTTGAGTGACCAACTCTTCATTTCGGCTCAGGTCATGACCTCAGGGTCCTGGGATCCCGCCCCACATTGGGCTCCACTGGGAGTCTGCTTGGGATTCTTTTCTCCCTCTGCCCCTCCCCCCACTTGTGCTTGCACTCACGCTCTCTCTGTCAAATAAGTCTTTAAAAAAGAAATATTTCAAGAGATGGCAAAAGCACAGAAAATCACCACCCTTGTAGTCCTTGTTCCCACCTTGTTTCTGCACAACCTGGAAAAGCATGGAAAACTCAGTTGTCTTGCCCTTTATTTGCCCCAGGTAACTGTTGAAAGGTCTGACCTCTCCATCTTAGAGTAGCACAGTAGTGGATAGTCATGGAGAACCCTGTAAGCCAGAGAGCCCAGGTCTGATTTCTGAAGCAGCAAGTGCAAACAGTTCTTCAAGTGATGTTCACTTGTCAGCAGCCTAGACTCCTTGCGGCAGGTTCTCTCTGGGAGGGAGGCAATGTGCACATCTTTGACTGCCAGTCTGTCTGTTTCTCCTGCTGGTGTGTAAATTAAGTGAGATCAGTGTTGCAAAGAATTTGGGAATGAGGAGTTAGGAAAGAACAAACTTGTGACAAAGCCTAACCGAAACCTTAGGAGACTTTTATTGCTGTGAGTAACGGACCAAGGGAGGAATGTTGGGTCCCTTCTGCTTCTCTGCCCCACCCCTTGCACCCACTTTAACTCTGAGTTTTACCTCAAAGGTCACTTATTAGAGAAAGTATTCCCTGTCCTCACTGACACTGAATCAGGTGCCCTTATGGTGCAGCTTAGTCCTTTAGTTTCCTTAAAACCTTCATCCGTGTAATATTTGACATTTATTTATATGAGCAAAACATGCATGGCTCCCACCTTTGTGAAACTTGCAGTTTATTTGAGAGGTGAGAGACACGTTAATATTATATATGTTATATATTATCTGACTCTGATAATTAATGGGTTAATTGAAAGATAAGTCAAGAAAGCATTTTTGGATGAAACAATCTATTTTGACTTAAGATGTATAAATGTTCATTCATTTGCTAATCTCATGGGAAGGCTTTTGCTTGGTGTATGGGATTGTCTGCAGGGTTCCCTTGAGTGTTTTCTTATATAAACTGCACTTAATGTATACCCTGTGATTTTCAGTGGAATGAGAACTTTGATACTTTGGAACAATGTGAATGCAGAATTCTTCTCGATTTTTAATTCTTTTTCTCCCACCACCCCATCCTTTCACACTGGTTCTGCCCATGTCTGTTTTGGTATCACCGTCCCCAGTGATTCATATTCATTCTTCTCTACAGCAGCTATGCTTTTTGTTGGTGTGCGGAGGAGGGAGGCAGCTGTCTCTGAAGAGAGCTCATGGGGGCCAAGACGGGGTCAGGCAACCAGCTGCTTCTGCAGGACTCCAAATTTCCGCCATCAGTGCACGTTGCTTTGGCTCTGTCCACCTAGGAGGTGGGCCCCGAGTGAGAGGACTGTGGAGAACATAAGCCCCGGTGCCTGGGTCACGTGCCATGCTTCCATCCAAATGCTCACACAGCTGCTCTGTAACATTTCCCAGAAGTCTCTTTGGTCCAACTAGATCTGTGTTTATTTTTTATAGTTAAAGTCATTTCTTTCTTTTTAATATTTTATTTATTATTTGTGAGAGAGCAAGAGAGAGAGAGAGAGCACAAGCAGGGGGAGCGGCAAGCAGAGGGAGAAGCCCCCCACTGAGCAAAGAGCCCGATGTGGGACTTGATCCCAGGACCCTGAGATCATGACCTGAAGTGGAGGCAGACTCTTAACTGACTGAACCACCGATGGGCCCCAGTTAAAGTCATTTCTTTGTTTTTAGGATAGAGGGTTAAAATATAAGATGTCTACTAGCTGTGTTTTCTTTTTCACATTCATGGTCACTCAGATGCCCGGATGTCTCTTGGAGCATATGACTGGGGAGGCATTTTCTTTGTTTAAGAGGGAACAGAGCACCGCCTGGGGCCTCACTGCGGCTGCGGGGCACCCCACTGTGTCACACACTACCCCCCCTCCCCACCTCCCCCGTGCTCCCTGCGGTGTGTACTATGGGCTTCCTTCTGGTGCACTGCAGGCGGGGGGCCTGGAACCTGTCTCCCTTGACCCTTGTGATCTTAATATCTAATGGGAAAGCCATTTCCTAGAAGAATAGCAATTGATTTGATGTTCTGCTTGACACATGAGGATGGAGAATGGCATCTTCCTTTCTCTGTTCCCCTTTTGGGTGCAAGTGCAGACCTCTCTTATTGCAGCAGGACCAGGAAGAACAGAGAATATTCCTCAGGAATTAGCTGCTCAAACTGCAAAATCATGCTGTGTTTGCAGCTTATTTATTTATAGGTCAGTGTCTCCCATGAGATTATGAGCTCCTTGAGGGCAGAGAATGAAAGGGTGGCTTAAAGCTAGGGCTTTAGAGTCAGATGACCTGAATTCAAATTCTGTCTTTGCCATTACCAGCTCTTCTGACCACAGGCACGTTATTTAAATTCTTTATGCCTCAGTGTTCTCATTTGCACAAGAGGGATAATAATAACATTTTCTTCCTAAAGTGGTTGTGCAGATTTTATTTATTTATTTTTTTAATGTAGGCTCCACGCCCATTGTGGAGCCCAACACGGAGCTTGAACTCACAAACCTGAGATCAAGACCTGAACTGAGATCATGAGTTGGATGCTTAACTGGATGAGCCACCCAGGCACCCCATGTTGTGCGGATTTTTTAAAGACACAATATAGAAAACATTCAGCATAGTGCCTCGTTTGTAACAAGTGATCAAAAATGTTACCTGTGATCCTGCTGTTCACAGTAATTCTGGTGCTTTCAGCACCTTGCAAGTTGCTATAAATATTTGCTGAACGAATATATTCAGGAAGTAGGGTTCAGAAGCCTTACTAGAGACTAGAGACATTTGAACACTAGGTTGACTGGGAAGTGTACAAAAGCGGGTCTGATCACAGATAGAGTGCCTGTCCGTGCTAATAAAGTTAACAAAGAACATTTCTCAAGCAGGGACCATCCCAGGAGAGCAGTTCATTGAGTTAGCTGGGGTTATTATGTTAAATTCTGCTGGATTGGTCTCATTTATTTCTGTCTATTATTAGAATTACTCTACAGAACTAGCATTAGCGGACCGACCGTGTTGGTGACGGATGGGGGCAGCAAGTGATTGGTGCTTTACGCAAAAACCAGGATTCTGCTTTTTTGGAAGAACGCATGATTCTAAACTGTACTGAGAAAAGCAGTTTTGGGTGTGGCCACAATTGAATAAAAGAAATGCACCCTTCAGAAGTCCTTAGAGATTCCAGGTTAATGGTGGAAAGCGTCAGCACGTGGGCACCCAGCTCAAGGCCTAGCATTCGTTTTTTAGAATTCTGTCCTTTGACACTTTCTTCCTTTTGTTGTGGTTCCATGGAGCTGTTTGGTATATTGCCTAGGTAAATAGTCTTTTGACATTCTTAATACTTTGGCATGAGTTCAAAGCCTCTGGCTTCTTAAAATCCAAAGAATAATGTTCACTGCCCCTTAAAAAAAAAAAAAAAATCAGATCCGTTCTCTCTCCCAAACTGCTGGAAGCCGTCTTCTATCTCCAGCTTGTCTGTGCCCTGTTGTGGGCTGGGAAGCAGATGCGGTAGCTGGGTAGCTCTGTCAGCCTCCCTCACAGGGGACACAGACGGGTCACACGTCCCAGGTTGCACAGAGATGTTAAGACAAGGACTGTTGTCATATTTGGTGCATCTGAAGGGTCATGCCTTGCAACTAGGTCTTTCAGACAGGAAGTGACAGAAATCTGACGGCCTCTTTCCCTCTTCCCAGATCTGATGTTTGGACTTGGCTTCCTGCTTCCGTGTTGTTTGTGGGTATAATCTATGCTGGTTCCAGGGCACTATCCAAACTGGTAAGTGTTAGAGACTTTTTAGAGAGACAGTTTCTCTTTCCTCTTCCCCTTTGCTTTTTAACTTTTTGCAGCTTAGATCAATAGGGGACAAAACAGCTTTCATAATTGTACATCTAGATTGGAGAACAGTGTGGGGCCTTTTACCCCTCTCCCTGAATTGAGGATGACCAGATAACAGGCTTGGGCCAACTTGTTTTATAAGACAAAGAGGCGTAGATGGAGACGCAGGGGGAGAGAAGGTGATTTTGATGGATCCTGACACAGACAGGGCCAGCCCACTCTGCCTTGATGCAGGCTGTCCTCGGGAGCAGGGAGAGCAGGCTCAGCCTGCTCCTTGCTTCTGAGGAACTGTAACCCTGCCTGCTGGTGACGTGGACTGGGGAGTGCTGGGCTCAGTAGCCCTGTACATGCCTGGCACGGCGTTGGTACCCAGTCCATGGGGACACTATTAAAACAACTGTCCCCTGTTCTCCCCCCTCAGCTGCCCAGGTTTGAGCTCCTCAAAGGAGGGAACTGTAAAGAATAAACTTCTTCCAGGGCACCTGGGTGGCTCAGTGGGTTAAGCCTCTGCCTTCGGCTCAGGTCATGATCTCAGGGTTCTGGGATCGAGCCCCACATTAGGCTCTCTTCTCAGCGGGGAGCCTGCTTCCCCCTCTCTCTCTGCCTGCCTCTCTGCCTACTTGTGATCTCTCTCTGTCAAATAAATAAATAAAATCTTTAAAAAAAAAAAGATAAACTTCTTCCAGTTACCTTATATGAAAATACAAAAATTGGGTTATTTTTTTCTATCAAAAGAGAATCCGTTGATACTGCCATTGACCAGAGACTCAGAATGAGGTTTAAAAGCCGGTAATGCCTCTTTCTGTCTTGTACCCTGACTGCTCATACTGTCTTTATCAGAAAATGATTGGGTTCTGACTTTTGGAAAAATGCAAATTTTGTGCAACAGTTTAGTCTTTTTATGCAAAGTCTGGTGTTATGTTGGACCCTTAGGTCTCATATATGGAAACATTAAAACAAACACCAAATCCGCCTACCTGCACAACAGTATTATTGTTAGGACAACCCTGAAGTTTGCAAAATAGTGCTTAAGAGTTACTAGTGGTGATTAAATCATAATTTTTCTTTTGTGATTCATAAGCTTGAGTCATCGGATGATGTATCCCATGGGGGAGAAACGTCCTGGGTGGGCCCCAGAAATGACCCACGGCACATAACTGTGCACAGCCCAGAGCCGGAGACCTGCACTGGCTTCGGCTGCCCCTTCTTTTCTGTCCACTTCCCTGTCTGAGGCCTCGCTTTACACCCTCTGGCCTGCAGAGGGCGCTCCCCCTCGTAGAGCAGAACACAGGTGTTGATAAAAGCAATGCATTTTTTCAAAGTTTTAATTTAAATCCCACTTAGTTAACATCCATAGTAGTAGTAGTTTCAGGTGAAGAATTTAGTGATTCAACACTTCATACAACAGCCTGGTGCTCGTCATAACAGGTGCGCTACTTAATCCCCATCACCGATATAACTCGTCCCCCCAGGCTCCTCCCTTCGGGTAAGCAGCAGTGGGTTCTTTATAGTGCAGAGTGGTTCTTGGTTTGCCTCTCTTCTTTTCACCTGCTATGTTCGTTCACTTGAAAAACAATGTGTTCTTGTCCAAAGGCTTTGAAAATTTCTTATGGGATCTGAGAGTTACAGATGCCAGAATTTTGAAGTTTGAATAACTATTGTTGTGCTAATAATAACAGTATTTTTTGTTTGTACAGTGCTTTTTTGTATGTTTCCATAGTGATTTCCTCTGTACCTTTTTATGTGATTCTCAGTCACCTGACAGGCAGTGGAAGAGGCAGACGCTAATCACCTGACAGAGGAAGAACTCAGGTGTGGAAAAGTCTTGGTAACCTGCCTCTAGCCCCAGCTCGTGGCAGCTCCCCTGACTCCAGACCTTTCGCCTTTTCAGATTTGTCTCTTTAGGGCCAGCGTATGTGGATTTTAGAATAGCCCACGGTAGAGCAGTCAGGCGTAACTTTAGACTCTTTTAGTTACAAGTTATAGAAAGCTCATAAACTATTCTAAGCAAAAAGGAAATGAACTGGTTCCTAGAATTGAAAAGCTGTAAATCAGGCAAGGCTTGATCCAGGGGGTCCAGTGACGTTCTCAGAACCCAGTTTTGTCTCTCTGTCTTTCAGTTCTGCGCTATCTTTGCTCCATTCCACAGCCAGGCTCTCCCCTCACGGGTGTTATTGACTCTAGGCTCACATCCTTACAACATGAAGTCTGATGGCAGGAGACTCTTCTCGTAGCTCTTGCAGGAATCCCAGGATTCACTCTGAACACATCAGTAGGACCACCGTCCTTCCCAGGTCTGAAAGGTCACCAGGAAGATGGAATTATGCTGATTGGTCGGCCCTGGGTCCCAGTGTTCCTGGACCACTCACTGTGGCTGCAGAGACTCACAGCACAGTTTGGCCAGCCCTGCTCGACAGGGTCCTGCCTGGATCCCATAGACTGAGAGCGGGGCTGGCAGATCCTTGATACCAGGATGCTTCACCAAAAGAAGGGATTAGGATACTAGGTGGCCTAAAATTCCTTAGAAGTCCATTGTAAAGGTCGGTCCAGTACACTGTCAGGCAGATGGGATGTTCTGTAACCAAGAACTATGCTTCTTGAAGTGTGATCCCCTCGTGGTGTCAGTCTGGGAGCTCTGTTAGCTGTCCATAAAGAGATCATGCCAGAATGTACATCAGCTTTGGCACTAAACACACTGTTTAGTTGAGCTGACATTTTTTTTTTTTTTCATAGCCAGACTTTTTAAAGAAGGAAGCAGTGCACTGATTTACCTTTTGGCTTGAGCTCCTTATTTTGGGGGAGGACTGGTACCATCAGTGCCCCTGGCCGAAGGCACAGCCTTCTTCAAAGGGTGAGAAGAAGCTGCTGCAATTCAAACTCTTTGAGCAAAGGGAAAACAACCCAAACCCCAATATACCCAATGAGAGTGGGAGGAGTACAGAAAAGAGGTAGTCATTATTGTTTTTTTTTTTTAAGATTTTATTTATTTATTTGACAGAGATCACAAGTAGGCAGAGAGGCAGGCAGAGAGAGAAGAAGAAGCAGGCTCCCCGCTGAGCAGAGAGCCCCATGTGGGGCTCGATCCCAGGATGCTGAGATCATGACCTGAGCCGAAGGCAGAGGCTTTAACCCACTGAGCCACCCAGGCGCCCCGTCATTATTGTTTTTGAGTGAAATAACAGCCCAGCATCTTTCCTTTGTTTTCTGAGTTTTTTGTTTTTATATAGTTGCTTACAAATTTATAGAGTAGGTTAAACACAAGGCACTCATACAGCTTGTGTTAGATAGAAAACAGGCATCAATATGCCGGTGGCAAGCTGTCAGTTTAATGAATCGACAAGGAATTGGAGGAAAGTGCTCTGTTAAAAGCCGTGGGTGTATTGTTATGCAGAACACTTTCTCGGGAGTTCTGCTCCATAAAGCCCTCCTTTATCTGACAAGATTTTGAAGCTCTCTTCTGATGTGCCACTCCTAAGAGGAAGCAGGTTTAACTCTGGAAAGGCACAGCAGGGAAAATTCTTTACTGATTTTTCCATCTCACAACCGAATGGCATGGCGTGCAGAGTTAAGGGAAGGGGGCTAGTCTTGGGGCTATCCATTCAGGAGATATTTATCAGGGATCTACTGTGTGCCAGGTGCTTAAGGACAAATAAGAGATGGTTCCTGGCCTTGAGGTGTTAGTATGTCCCAGGCACTTTCCATCGCCCCTCTTCACGATGTATGAAGTCAGACTTAATTACTTCCCCTTACAGATGAGAAAACTGAGATCCAAATTATTTGGCAAAGGTCAACAGCACATAAATGTTAAAATGGAGGTGCCAACCCAAGGCTGTCCAACTGCAACCGTTCATTTCTAAAAAGTTACCCTCTTCCCCCTCCAAATCATATCCACTGGGGGAGGTCAGCCCATGAGGACTGGGCTGGGGGGAGTGGAGAGGAACCGTGTACTTGCTGTCCCTTCTACTTGGGCTCACTTGGGTCAGCTTCTTCAGCTATCCTATGCTGAATAAGGTCCCAGTGATGATGGCTCTAATGACACGAGTGTCGGTCTTCGGAGGGTCAGTATGACCTCGACCAGTCATTAACACTCTTGTAATTTCCCAGCCAAAGCCAGGTCAGCTAGACGGGATTGCCTCACAGCCTGTGCTGGTGAGTGATTTTAGAACAGATGTGCAAAGTCAGACATTAGTGAGGTTGCCAGCGGGAGGCCATCCTGGTGGTGGTGATCCGGCTGCTTGAACTGTGTCATTTTCTTGCTTCAGGGAAGCCAGGGTCCGTAGTGCAGGACTCTGCAAATCTGAGTTAAGGCATCTTGACAGGACTGCTCTTGGTTCTCACCCAGCCCTTTGATCTTGGTCCTTCCCTAACTGTTGTCAAGGTTTGCCTTCCATGAGCATGATGCTCACTCCATGCATTGTGATGGAGATTGGCTGAGGTGTTGGTGAGGAAACACACACGGATAATAAACCCAGATGGAGCAAATTAGTTAAGCAAACTGGAGAGCCCGTGAGTCCCCTCCCCATTTGTTTGGCTCGAAAATTGCATGAAGGAATTTGGATCTGCAAAGGAAAAGAATGTCACTGTTGATGTAAAATGGAGGGTCTTCTGCTAACGTTCGCTGCTACTGCTCATTTGAGGCAGCTCTCCTTCTCTTTCCTGTTGTTTTCTTCCCAGAGCACACCAGAGTCCGTTTGCAAGGATTACTTTTTAAGGTGTAGGCTCAGTGGCAAAATAGTAAATGCTCCATCTGGATTTCAGTTATCTTCTTGCTCCATCTAAAGGAGATGGTCTCAGGGTGCCCGGGTGGTTTAGTCAGTTAAGTATCTGACTCTTGATTTCGGCTCAGGTCATGATCTCAGGGTCGTGAGACTGAGGCCCCTCAGTGGAGAGTTAACTTGGGATTCTCTCCCTCAGCCCCTCCCACCACCCCGCTCTCTCTC